CATTCTAAGTCTTCTATTTTGGCCTTAAAAAATCGGAATAAAATATGGCTATATTTGAATGACCATATAGAAAAATTGTTGGAAGTAGTTTTTCACCAAAATCTCTATTTCTAGCATCTAGAAAAGATATGGAGAGTCTCTTGAAGATGCTCAAATAGTGGCTTATTTATATGTAAAACATGGGTACTTTAGATTATTTTCTATAACGGCACCGACAGATATTTTAATTTAGGCATTATTGATTTAGGTTACTTTATACTATTCATAAGGCTAGAGGGTGAAGTGGGCAACCTTCATGCTTACTATTATCAATGATGAATATAGCGCCAGGTATTTTATTTTAGTATTTTTTATTATTTTGTTCTAGCATGTCTTGTGATCATTAACATGAAAGATTTATTTGTTCGTAGATGGTAAAGGCTGCAACATTATTTAGTCATGAGATTTTTGGGATCTTTAAATCAAGACCACGTTTGGATCTCTAAAAAACAAGAATGAGGTAGAAAATTAAGAATGAGATCTAGAATCCACCTATCTACCCTAAATATATTATGTGGATTTTTTACTATACAAAGACAATAATCACTATCAGAATGAGATCCAATCATCTCTTGTTTTTTTTATCTAGATTCTATATTCACTATCTAGAATTCTCCTCCTCACTATAAAAATAAGATCCAAACAGGCCCTAATAAACCTTTTCCTCAATGGATGCCTAACGAAGCGATGATGCAATGAAGCCACAGAGGAGGCCCAATAGCAAATGGGTCACTCTCATCTACATCTGGGACAGCTACTGCATATAGATATTTCCTTGATGACGATAAAGTAGGCAATTTATATGCAGATTCTGGGTTAATTTCTAGTGATGGCATATTTATATGTAAAAATAGGGTTACTTTATATTATGTTTCACAATAGCATTGTAGGTATTTTAATTTAAACATTGATTTAGGAGTTACTTTAGACTGTTCTTGCCAAAGGAGCTCTAGTCGGACTGGTTAGAGTTCGCGGCACCCTCAGGTCAGTTGAATCCCCATGGCGAATTTCAGGTTTGAGGTAATAAAAAATCCTACGTCTCTCCGCATGAAATGCAGTGCTGTGGTAAAAAAATCCCGTCTCACTGAGGGATGCAGTGCTGTATGTAGGTGGGGAGTCACGACCGGATACCCAGCGGAATACATGGAATGCGCCCCGAGGCGGCCAGCCCACAAGGCAAAGAAGCTAACAGGGCGCGACTGCCTCGGCGCCTCCGCAAGACCTGGGAAAAGATCTGAAGATACTCACGAGATCACATTAGGATCGTGTGATTCATGATTCACATGTCTGTTATTACTTTTTGGTTATCTCTCAGGATCATGAGCTTGTAACCACCTTGGGACTATATAAAGGCGGGGACCCTCAAACTCACACAATATCATCGATAGACAATACAATCAACAGGACCACATGAGCGACGACGGTAGAATTCGTCATGCAGCGTGCACTGACACCATCTAACTCGTGTGTCTACGCGCATGTTGATACCGATTACTGCGCCTCTCTTGCGATAAATCTACGCCATTATGACCTTCACCGAGATTGCCGATGATAAATATAGCCGATAGTTAGGCGCTGGTGAGGAAGCATGTGTCTTTGATCCATGGCCGAACCAGATGGGATCCTCAAGATCGCTGGCAGCAAAATTTGGCAACAGCTTCTTCTTGTAGGCACGCTCATGCTTGGCCAATTTCGATATCACTCGATGCGTGGAATCAATACGCGCTACGCCCGGCAACCTTCGATCCGCTTTCGATGGCATCCATGAAACCTTTGTGAGACTTCGATGTCGAATTCAGCGTCGTGTTCAAGAGATGGAGTCTACTACTTGGAGCTTTACGTACATGCGCCGGCTATTGACGTCTCTCCTCTGCGTGATTCAACAGAGCCGCCGGTGCGAGGATCGGATAATCAAGCAGCGATTGTTGTACGCTTGTCTGGAAGCGGCGACCACAAATTATTTTGCCGATCTTTGTTACCCACGTGAATCGCGGCTGGATCAACGCTCTTTGTGGTCCCCAAAGATTCGATCCGTCTCACCGAGATCGATTAGCTACATACCAATTACTAGAGGCCATCGCACAAAGCTAGTTGTAATAATAACTTACGTATATCGTCTACATGGAAGAAGGCCAACTATGAATTCTTTGCGGCACAACTTGCATGTGCACATGCACATATGGAGTCAAGCCAAAGCCGCAACCCTATTATGGCGGATGTCCCACGTCACCAGAGCCACTAATATGGAGACAACGTCGCTTTCGGCTCACCCTCTTACCAGAGCCACGCAGCGTCTGATGTAGTAAAGCGCGAAGATGGCGCCCGTGACAGCCGCGACCACGCCATAGCGGCAGTTGGCGGAAAGCTTCGAGGCGAACGAATTTAAATCCTGCGTCGACCGAGATAGCGCCATACGCTTCGCCGACCAAGCGTTACGCCTAAAAAGCTAAGTCACGCTTTAATATTTTTAAATATTCTCAATCTTCGTATATATCGCCATAATGTTTCTGGAGTTGTTTTTCTCCATGTTTGCTCTCAACGATTTTACGAACCCTAAACGCGATTATGTTGATGCTACGGATATCCCTGAGCGGCCCAGCCCTCGGCTCCTCCCTACTGCGTGCACGGCGTCTACCCTCTATGTTATAGGTGGTTCGGCGGCTCCTCTTAACAGCGGCTTTATTCTTCCCTGCTGCCCACCGAGCTTCAGCTCCGCGTTGCTGATTAACCGGCTGAACCCAGATATGTGAACTCGACTACACACTAACCTAATGGGCGGTTTATATTAAATATAAATACATCTTACCAAGCGATACGTGAATCGAGGCTACATACGCTATTTTCATCACCATTCATTGATTTTCTTGGGAGTTTATATATTTTACATCATGTGCTACCACGTTCTACATATTTGTATTGCGAGGATCATCGTCGGTGATCGGACCACACAGTGCTCGGACTTCTCCACCGATCAAGCCCCAGGTGAACAAGCTCAAGTTCATGAACTTCATCGCCGTATTGCAGCAAGGAACTCCTCGGTGTTGGACGCCCTTCGCCCAGCTCATAGGGACTCCTCGGTGCTCGGGCGTTGCCACAGCTCACAGCAGAGACTCCTTTGATGGATAGGATCTTGCCTTTCGCCTCGCCGGTGTGTGCTATCTGCAAGGCGCTCCATCTTTGTTCCGGATCGAGTCTTGATCTTGGCGGCCGCGATGCGAGTCTTGATACGCGCACATATCGGGCAACGTCGAGTAAGCTTTCGGACTTCTTTTCTTTGACTTTACTATAGAATTCATTCTTCATCTTCAGGCGAGGCTCGCGCGCGGGGACTAAGTGGCACACTTCACCTTCTGCGGTGAATGTCGTTTTTTTTCAATTTAGGGCTCACGCCGAGTGGTACGAATTGCCCTACTCGGTAGGTCTTACGCGCCTCTTCTACTTTTCTAATCTGGCGCCAGCGCGATTCACGTCACCTCTTTGTATCGGGCTGGAACTAAATTTGTGAGGTATGGCTCCCCGGGATCACAAAATACAAGACATGGGCATACCTTCGAGAGGTGGTCGACCCACAAGATCAAAAGCGTGCCGCAGCCGGTCAGCGTGCGCATAAGATATTGTATGGTACCAAATATGATACTTTCCTTGTAATCCTACCCCTCGAGGTATATAAGAGAAGCGGGGCCCCTAATGGATGACTACATCTCAATACAATACACTAAGAAGGGCGTAGGGTATTACGTCGATCAGAAGCCGACCCGAACACCATCTCATCCGTTGTCTCTGCGCCTTGTGTCACCATCCGGTTCCACGATCACGCGCACCTCCACCGATCAGAATTTACCTTACGGCCGGATACCCTTGGAGGCCA